CGGCCGCGCTCGTATTTGGCGGGAACCGCGGCGACCCCCGCAGCCCGTGCGTCGATTGGGCGAGACTGCGTCACGTGACGTCCCGCCTCGGGAAGAGATGAGCGCCGGGAGCATCCTCGCGAGAGCCGTGACTTCCATTCCTCCCAGGGCTCCCCTATTGATATTCCCGTGGGAGGCGGGGCTTCCGTTCGGAACTCCATCATTGGCTGGGAGAAAGTGCCCTGCGATTGGGTGTCGAAGGTGTCGAGCTGAGAACTCGGCACTACGATTGGTTGAGCGCGTGGGATAGGTCGGTAGGAGGCGGGAGAGTCAGGCTCCTACGTCACCACGCGTTTTATAAGAGGCGCCGGTGACAACCTGCCATTGCGATTTGTTGAATAGATAAAAGGCTCTGAGTTTTGAGTTCATCCTCATTGGGTTTAGCAAGAAGATAGCAAGAGAAATTAAAATGATGTCCTTTTCTTATGACCAAGAAAGTTAAGTCTGGGCAGCGCTTTGGAAGCATTTAGCATGTTGTAAAAATATAGGAGGCGTCTTCAAAAAGCTTGCGAAAAATCCCAATTATGAAAAACCCGGATTTTGAATTTTTTTGTACAAAAATAAAGTCATTATTTTAATTCCATTATCCCATGAATCTTCTGAAGTCCCTCGCGTTCACAGTGAACGAATGAAATGAATGCTTCTGGTTTAGCCTTCAGGATTTTTGCACGTCGTTTTTCCTACACAGCTCTTCTCTGGGAGGATTTCTACCCACTGGCAGCTCTTAATTTGACACAAGAAGCTTTTTCTACTCTGTTCAACAAGGCTCAGTACCCGCAACACAGTTAATTTTCTTGCTGCAGCTACAACTGTGTCTATTTCTGTGTGTTATTTGACTAATAAATTAATATGTTTTCATCGCTAGCAAAATGAAGGCAGAAACCACTCATTCCCAGAACTTGGCAATGACAGACACATAGTAGCTTCTCAATAAATATTAGAATGACGACATCAATACAATGTGATTGAATTGGTGGGGGCCCAGCAGGTGGCGTGGTGTTAAGGGCGTTGGATTCCCCACATGGCTGACTGCGGTTAGAGTCTTGGACCTGGCGACTTGCTTTCTCACTTTCTCTTTTCTCTCTGCCTCTCTCTGGTCAAATTAAAACGTGATAATAATAAATAGAATTAAATAAATATTTTTTTAAATAATGTGATTGAATTGGGCAGATTGTGCAGGTTAACACACGAAACGGATTTTTCAGCATGAGACTATGAGTTTAGATAGAGGTTTTTGTTTTGGGACCAGCAGTTGGCGTAATGGCTATGTCACTGGACTCCCATGTAGTTGACTGCGGTTCATGTCCCAGACCTGGTGGCTTAAACTCTCACCGGGTGCAACTGCATGCATGCCCAAGATCCCAAGGGGAGAATGGAGGAGAAGGGATTGTGGCGTGGCCATCTCCCCGGAGAGTGATTTCTCACTTTCCGTCTCTCTGTCTCTCTCTGTCTTTCTGGTGAGTGCACATGCCCTATAGCAAAAACCTCTCCAAAAAAATAAAGTAGATAGAGGTTTTTGTTTTTAAATTATGTATTTATGTTATTATTATGATTTAAAATAAGTTATTTGTTAATTATCATTATTTTTCAATTTTATCAAAGAGATACGGAGAAAGTGAGAAAGCATGCCGCCAAGTCTGGGATGCAAACTGTGGTCAGCCATTAACTACCAGTGTCTTTAACCACCATGCCACCTGCCAGCTCATTATTATAATTTTTTTAGAGATTTTTTGCTCTATGGTGCAAGCACTCACTGGAGAGACAGAGAGACAGAAAGGTGGACAGTCATGCCATCCTCCGTTCTCCTCTCAGAATTCTGGACATGCACACACATACACCTGGCATGAGTGTCAAACTGCCGGGTCTGGGATTCAAACCACCGTCGACCACGTGGGAGTCCAACATCTTAACCACCATACCACCTGTTGGCCATTTTATTTTATTTTTTAATTATTTAATTTTATTTATTCACTCATTTATTTTAATTTCACCAGAGAGAGACACAGAGAGAGAGAGAGAAAGTGAGGAAGCAAGCCACCAGGTCTGGGACTCAAACCATGGTGGGCATTGTGGGAGTGTCCAGCACCTTTACCAGCACGCCACCTGCTGGTCCCCTTTTTTTTTTTTTTTTTTTTTTTTTTAATTTTCTATGAGATACGTGCGCTCACCAGACAGAGAGAAAGCAAGCCACCTGGTTCAGGATTTGAACTGCGGTAGGACATGTGGGAGCCCAGCACCCCAACCACCATGCTACCTCCTGGCCCTGATAGAGGTTTTTCTTCCCCAATTTAATATCTGAGAGCAGAAGTGGAGGTGAGGAGATTGAAATGTGGCCCAAGTTTGGAATTCTGTCGGGGTGGATTGTAGAATTGAATCTGTGGAACCCGTGGGAAAGGTGTAGTGAGATAGCAAATTTGGACACTTGAGGCAGATCGTGTCATTACCCAAGGCCTTGGTTGTCCTGTCTGAACCATGAGGACATTTCCCCCTCTCCGCTGACATTCTGACACCGCCGAGATTTAGACCAGCACATCACCACTGAAACTGTGTGCTCGGGAGGCTTGAAAAACATGCCAGGTGTGTGCGTGCCCCAAATCCCGACAGGATGGAGAAACGGAGAAGGGCCTGCCGCGTAACGCCGCCCCACCGAGGGGTGCTTTCTCCCTCTCTCTTTCTCTGTCTCTCTCTGTCCCGGGAGAGTGCATGCACACGCTGGCAAATTAAAAAAAAAAAAAAGGCCAATACAAAAATCAGTATCAATAAACATGTATCGACCAGGGAAGGGTTTTCTGAATGGGGTGACACTGCAAGAAAAATCCTCTTGAAGCATAAACAGGATTGGAGATAGGAAGACTGGGCAGGAACGTGCTGAGTTGCTGAGCGACGACGTCCCCTAGGCAACAGGGCTTATGGATTAAAGACGAGGAAGAGAGCAGGGGTCAGAAGAGCTGTTGGGCCAAATTCTACAAGTTCTGTAGGCCCTGGGAGGAAGTCTAGGGTACCCTAAGGGCAGTAGGTGGACTTGAAGCAGAGGACTGATGAGATGTCATCTGGGTCCTAGAAGCCATCTTTCGGGATGAAGTGGAGGGGGAAATCCTGAAGGTGGAAGCACCGGGATGGGACGGTCATGAATACAATGGGGATGTCAAGGATGTAGATGTGACGCTCAGGCGTCCGACCTGGGCAGCTGACTAGCTGAACGGGACGGGGTTTAGGTGACAAGCAGGTGAACACACAGCTATCTGGAGAACCGTCAGCTAGAACTCCAACTACTCCTTCGCTTTCCGGTTCTTCCGAAACGGGTCTAAGCGCTTTTCCTTTAGAGCCGCCTCCGGAACTCCAGGGGTCGCTGCAGCCTCCCCTGCCCTTCTAGGCACACCCCGCTCTACTCGCTGGTGAAGGCGGCCTCTTCCGCCGAGGGCGACGTGCGCGTGCGCGTGCGCTTCTCGTCCGGCAGGGGGCGCGCGTGCGCAGACGAGCCGGGGCGCGCGCGCGGGGGCCGGCACCGGAAGTGTGCGGTTGCCATGTAATATCCTGGCCGCGCGGGCGCGCGAGGGGCCGAGGCGGCGTCGGGGCGGGCGCGGAGATGGCCAGCGGGGGGCGGGTGGTGTTTTCT